CCACTTCGCCTTTATCTTATCAACGCTTTCAGTGGGAATCGGACTCAGTTAAAGTTACGACACATAATCACGGTGCCAGATAGCCACTAGTGCAAGCGGGTAGCAGTAAAAACATGATTTCCCAGCAGGCCCGGTTTTTACCATATTGTTTATTTTTTGTTTGCCACATTATCGTATTATTGTCGATGACCCAAATTTATAGTTGACATTAAAATCAGCAACACTGCCTGTATTTCTAATGAGTAGGCTTCGAGATCTTCAGGAAGGTATATTGATAATCTCAAAATTGAATTATTATGAAGATAATTAACGTAGTTAGTTGTAATGGTAAATATATGCTTGTTGCCTTGACAACCCCATTATGAAATGTAACATGGAAGAAGTCTGGCTTGCCCTAAAGCCTTACCTGTCTTGTGACCCACTGACATTAGTGGTTACATGATGCATTGGTAACGTGTCAATATTTTACGCGCATGACCCGGAGTCGATTCCCGTAAAGGGTGTTGATAAGGAGTAGGCCTGATCAAAACTGTGGTCAAATCTGGATGAAAATATCTCTTAGGAGGTAAGGATAAGTAAAATTCAATGGTATTGTGAGGCATACTCATATCATTGTGAGATAATTCAACTATTAGTCCTTCGCCACGTCATGAAACCTAGGGTGACTAGAGTTCTTAATCTAAAAATCTACCCAATATACTAAATATACCCGATTAAAGTGCCTTGGTAGAAATATTACCTCTTTTTGTTGGAGGTGTAGTCACAATTGGCAGTATGACTGGTTGCGTCAACATAACTGGCTCACTGCGGCCGATTGGAGTATCCAGGAATATCCGGAAATGATGTGGAATGCCCAGCTGTAGACGGTCCACAGATGCCTCAAATCGGTCTGAAGCTGAGTCCCGACTGGGGGCTGTGAAAGGCTTTGATACTACTCTTTGCCAATGCAGCCTATCTGGATGCCAGCGCTCAACGACGAACTCGGTAGTGGCTCCTCGGGCAAAACTGGGAAGTCCGGTTCTCAAAGTCGGTCCTCTCCAGCGTAGCAAAACACTGCCTGTGGACGGCAGACCTGAAGAGGAATAGGAGTAAGGGCGATGTTCGAGGCCAATCAAATCAAGTCCAGCCAGACTACTGGTCCTTGGCGAGCCGGCTGCAGGACCATCAACTCGCAGGTCAACCACCTGGAATGCTTCAGGAGATGGCAGGTAGATGGTATCTGGCTCAGTTGGTCGGCTGGTCGAAGGGGTGTAGAACTGGCTGCGCCGGTCGAAAGTGGGCGTCCTTACAGAGCTTAGAACAAGTGGAGTGTAAGGCCGCACCAACTCGGCAGCCGATGGCACTCGGGGCAGGGGAACGGCCGAGGTGGAGATAGAACTAGAGGGTCGATGTGGTTGCCATTGGGCCGAACTTAGCCAGGACACAATGTCTGACTCAAGGTATGCGCCAACTCCATGCCAGTCTTTAGCAGCGACACGGAATTGGTAGGCTTCTGTGATAGCGAGTACATCGGGAGTGAGGCGACCCAGATCAGAAGATCTGAATTCACCTACTCTCGGCTGTCCAAAAGTTTCAAAGGCTGCCACTTCTGAAGATGACAGAGCTGTGGGTCTATAAATAAAGTGTTCATGTCCCACTGGCAAGCTGGCAATCAGTTTCCAAGGTCGTTCACCTACGCGACGCGCCTCGACCACATAGCCTAGGCTTGAGACCGGTATCGTTCTGCTTAACGAGTCCAGGAGTGACGGTTGATAGGTTGGAGTGGTAACGCGGTGCATAAGAGCCTCAGTCCCCAGAGAAACAGCCATCGGGGGCCAGCGAAGCTCAATAGATGGTGGCTCGTAATAAGGATAGGCTCCGCGATCTTCAACTAGACGAGCCTCAAGGCGGCCACCAGTAGGGGCAGGAAGATGAGGTTGGATGGTTTCAGCATGTGGAGACTTCGGATCAGAGGTAACCTCTACTCGAGTGACCAGAGGTGCGCTGTAGCCGTATTCATTTTCTGCACGGATTCTAAATAGCAACGGCTCAATTGGCAAAGATCGTCCGGGACTAACAGTGGCCTTTTCGGGCCTGGAAAGCAACTGTCTGAGAATGCTAACCTCAGCGGAAGTAGAGCTGCCTGGAAAGCGACCTAGCTCAAACCAAACGGTTTCAGGGGTATCGGCTCGGCTAGCCTCGATCAGATAGTGCGATGGCAGAAGCGATCTCGAGTCAACGAGAGTGGATTTGCTAGACAAGGTAGGGCTTTTCCAGAATAGGGTAACACGGTTACCTAGCGGAGTTGCGAGCTCCCAGCGTAGAGGTCCCAAGGGAGCATCAGGGAGGCGACGAAAGTGCTCGTCTGTCGAATGTACAGAGGCAGGTCGACGTACCAGCATCTTGGTCTTTGCCAGATGGTCGAGGCTGACTGGTACTAAACTTTCGAGAGGCGAGCCAGCCCCCAGCTCATTGACTGCACAAACTCTATAGGCAAGACTGGCGGATCGCAGTCGCAAATCACGCTCTGTGATTGGTAGATGTACGAACGTACGCCCGGGGGGTACGCTCATCACAGGCAGCCAATCGTCCAGACCAAGGATGCCCGGGCCAATTCTGCGTTGCTCCACCAGGTACTCGGTGATGGGCAGGCCACCGGTTTCCTTAGGCGGACGCCAAGTGAGCCGAACGCCCGGCTCACTTGATATTGCCGACTTGGGCCGCTGAAAATCAATGCTTGGACTAATTGAGGGTTGGGCGAAGCCTGCCAGATCGGCATGGATAGTGCCACATGTTTGTTCCACATCGATGCCCAAGGGACCCAAAGGAGCTGTTGGAACATCTGAAAAGATTAAGGTATAACAAGAGGCAACAATAATGATAAATATACAGAAAAAAACATAGAAACAAAGAATAGGCAAAAGATAATAAGGCAGTCACCTAGTAGGTTTATAAAAATGCAGATCTGAATGTCATAACCGATCCATAAGGCGTTTATAGACGGATAAATATATGGAGCTAGTATCCTAATATATAAGACCATGACTTATATGAGCTTTACTCTGCAAAGAAATGTCTTAACTAATGCTAAGCTAATAAAACGTGATCCATTGTCTGGAGTGTAAATACATTCACGTCGGAAAGAATAAGTTAATTCCTATACTGATAATTTTGGATTGCAAGCATCCATTTTAGAACAGCAAATGATGGTCATCGTCAACAATGGCCAGTTTCTCTGCCTTTTGAGAATAGAGGATTTGATAAACTACACATTCGGTTCCAGAAGTAGTTTCATATTTTGGTTTAACTACAATCAACACTCTTTACAGGTCCTCCAAACATAGGCAGTAGAACTAGTTTACCAAAGGTGAGAAATTCCACTTTCAGTGTAAATCAAACCTCTTCTGATTCTCAAGATAATGAAAAGAGTCAAATATACAAGGCACTACTTGATATATATAAAATTAGAAAGTAATAAGTAATTGTTTAGAAATAAGTCAGAATGAAACAACATCAGTGTCTCTATTCAACGGAACAACAGTTGTGAGGCATCATTGAGTGGCAAGACAGAACACGATAATTTTATGAAATAAGACAAAAACGAATAGTACCAGTGTGGAAACGGTAATACGAATAGTTGAGTCCCAGTAAAGAAAATGATATTATATAATGATTTAACTCATTTTATAAAATCAAGGATAGCAAAATCCTCACTTTATCGCAAGAAATGACCAATTTGAACTCTATATTTTCCTAACTTCATTGTTCGCTAAGTAAAACATGAGCATGAGGTAATGTATGGCTTTGGCTTATTACGAACTTCGAATAGAGAGCTTATAGCTCTTTTTGCATTGCCGAAAATGCAGTCCACTCTGAATGATAATACTTTTTGAGTAACAAGACTAAATAAAATTCAATTGAAACGTAAATCTATCTCATGACACCGTGGGGGAATTCAACTATCCGTTCTTAATCGCATCGTACGACCTAGGACGACTAGAACTGTAAGTAAAATCTATCGTTACTCTCAAAAACTGAATCCATACAAAGGCCATAGCATCTTGGTCTTCTTGTATTCGATTAAAAACCTTATTTTTCACTATAAAAATATGACCAATTATGACAATATACTTCCCACCACATAGTTTTGTCAAGCTATATTTGAAGGTTTCTTAATTCTGCAAAAAACTTAGGGTCGTATAACCGGTATGGGCTAAAATTCTTGGACATTTTATTCCTTAAGGAAATTGATGTTCAATAAATTAGCTGAGCTAAATGAATAAAGTTTTTACTAAGGTTTCGTGTTAAAATAACTGCATACTGGAGTTACGCAGATTTTATTCTATGATTATGCTATTCCACAATAGTTTTTAGGAATCAGATAAAATCACAATTCAGTTATAGATTTACCAAGTCCGGTGTTTAACTATATATTTGCTAGGAACGTTCAAGAATAAGTGGGTATTATCTATTGTCAAACTTCCAAAGTCTCCAGAGTTTCAAGACTAAGTCTTGCTCATCAATGAAGAAGATAGGTCTCAGTTGAAGTTGAGGCCTTCGCATAGATTCCAATTCAACGCAGTAGCCAATGAAAAAGTGTTGAGCAAACCGACCTCTACAGACAGCAGGAGCTCAAAAAAAAAGAATTAGAGTTCAAGAAACGATAGTTTTATAAACGCTTACGCATGAGTCTATCTGGATGATCGTCTGAAGTGAATTAAAGCCTTAGAGCAATACTACTTTGGAATGAGAGCCAATGGTGCACCTATTAGCCTAGCAACGAAGTATAAACGAAAAGTAAAGAGCGAACTTTAACCTAGTATATGACAAGTAAAACATATCTTCAGACTGGCATACCTTTAAGTTCGTTTAAGAAGGCGGGTCGAAGGAATTTGTAGATGGGCCGCACCGGATACCGCAAAAGGGTTGCCTTGGACTTTTGTCTGTTGAATTGTGAAGACCTCAGCTCACCGTCCTATGACTCCAATGACTCCGTGCTGAGCTTTCGTCCGTCATGTTACGGACATCGTCAGAGCCAGAAACCATTATTCACAAAACAATAAGCAAAAACACTAAATCAAGAAAGGTGGCCAGTTGGGATCATACTTACTTCTTATACCTCACTCTGCGATCTTAATGAGGCATTCCATGATTTGTGTGCTTTTTTATGTTTACCCTATATGCATGTAAGAGAGTATAAAATGACGCAGGAAGGGGAGCGGGTGTGATCACATTTTTGTCTATGTAAATTAATTAGCGTATGATCCAGTAGTCCTGGGTCTTTTTACAGCTTCATGGATGCGTGTGTATGCAACAACCCCGAGTTGGTTGACAATTTTAATTTCAAGAACAGACTCCAGCTTAGTCTAGTCTTCTCCTTTTATTCAGTAGCTTTTCCTGTTCCCTTTCCTTCTCTCGCTCTCTCATTATATTCAGAAGCTAGAGATAGCTCTTACTTAGTTTCCTATATGCGTTCCTTTTATTCAAGATGTTATTTGTTTTATTAATTTCAATTGATTCTCTGATCTTCTGTTTAGCCTTGAAGTCCCCATATCCGGCAAAAAGTTGGGATTTAGATCACTCTATCTGATGCCCTGTAGCGACCACATGTTCAGCCACTTCCGATTTCTGAATCCATAAACCTTTGCAGGCGGTTTTGTGTTCTGATAGCCTCTTATGTATGGGTAGACAAGTCTCCCCCATATAAACACTACCATATGAGCACAAAACCTTATAACAACTTGATCTGCAGATGGCGTCTGAAGATTATCTAAAATAAGGCATGATCGAGGAAAACGTTATTCTTTCTTTATACATTGCCTTGACGCTCCATTGCCTCAGTAATTTGCCTATATTTCCTGAGAGCTGCAGGATGGCAGCATTAGGAACTTAGACTAAGAGCTGTCAAATTGCTTGTTTTCTTTCACCCAATTTCTTAGTATTTTGAAATTGTTAACGATTAATCCAACTCGCGGTTGTTCCATAAACACGCGTCCGCGAAGTTGTAACAAGACCCATAACTACTGGATCATACGCTAGTTAATTTAAATAGACAAAAGTGTGACCACATCCGCTCCCATTCCTGCGTCATTTTATACTCTATTA